TATATATGTATATATGTATATATTTATATATATATATATATATTTCTGTCTTGCGGTCACTTACTTAATCATGTTTCTATATATCTCTATTCAGGAAGTCCACCCAGTTTACTTTAACGACGAATGTTGTTGCGCATAATCCCATAATGAACTGCAGGAGATATGTGAGTAATATGAATAGAGAAAGACGTGCGTTTTGGGCTCTGGACTCGAAGAGCAGAACAAATGATGTTCAGCACAGTCCGGGCGGAGGTGCACGAATAGCACCCATCGAGCTTTCTGGAATTGTAAAGGTTAAGGGGCAACAAAGCACACATCAATCACGTAGTTCAGCAACAAGTAGGAGCTGTCAAGATGCAGACAGCGGCGTACCTGTTAAGTGCACATTGGGACCAAAGCACAATATATCAGTGGTTGATGCACCAGTATCAGTCAAGAAAATGATATCAGTCAAGAAAATGGCAATGGCTACTAAAAGCACAGGAAACTACAGAAAAGCGGCGCTAAAAGTGGATTCTCTCGTAGCCAACAGGTCGCTACACTCATCTGACGCATATTACGCAATTATTATATATAAGCAGAGTAGACAGCCAGAGAAGTGCGTGCAGGTACTGGAGTATATACAAGAGAAAGGGGAAAAACTTACAGCTTACCATTACGCTCTCTGTATTGCTGCGTTGAGTACCCACAACAAGTACTCGAAGGCCTATGCGCTCTTCGAGGACATGCAGACACGCGGTGTTGTGTTGGACGTGGCCACGTACACCACTGTGGTACAAATGCTTCTGAAGGCGAGAGAGCTCGATGCAGCGTCGGAAATAGTTTATAAAATGGCAACGGATGGCTGTAAACCCAATGCAAGGACATACACTGTGTTGATGGCTGCGTTCAGTAGGGCCGGTCGATGGGACGATGCGCTCAGATTTTTTGGAGAGATGGAGTCGAAATGTGTTACACGAGACGCTATTGCATACAGCTCTGCAATTTCTGCCTGCCATAAGGGAGGCCACTGGGAACGGGCGATAGTTTTTTTCGACGAAATGGGGAGAAAGGGATTCAAGCGAGATATGACTACATATAGCGCTGCCATCTCGGCGTGCGGGAAAGGACACAACTGGCGCAAGGCTATAGAGTTGTTTGACGAGATGAGAAAGAATGGTATACGACCCAACATGATCGCTTACAGCGCTGCTATTTCTGCGTGCGAAAAAGGATATCAGTGGACTAAAGCACTGAAGTTACTGGACGAAATGACGCGCAAGGGAGTCAAACAGGACACGATAGTCTACAGTGCGGCGATATCCGCCTGCGACAAAGGAAGACAGTGGGGCAAAGCAATCGAGCTGTTCGATGAGATGGGGGCGAAGGGCATTAAACGCAACACCATCGCATACACAGTTGCCATAACTGCTTGCAACCATGCTAATCGGTGGGAGAAGGCCGTTGAGATCTTCGCCGATATGGACATCAATGGTATTGTGCGTGATACAGCGGCATACAATGCTGCCATCTCTGCCTTTGGGAAAGGGAGACAATGGGAGAAGGCTATCATGCTATATAACGAGATGGACAGCAAAGGACTGCAACCTGATACTAAAACGTACGGGGCTGCGATATCTGCGTGCGAGAGGGGTCAGCAGTGGCAGAAGGCGCTCGCGCTATATCACGAGATGAGCGCTAATAGCGTCGAGAGAGATCTAGTGATCTACCGCGTCGTCATACGGGCACTTGCCTCAGGTGCCAATGCACACGGTCTGATTGATAGTGTCTATGAAGACTTGATCGTAAACTTCACCGCATACGGGCGGTTTTGGAGTCGGTTTGAGCGCGAGGGGGTCCTGGACTTGCACACCCACACACAGCTGGAGGCACAGTCTGCTGTGCGACGCCTGCTAACGCTACTGCAGCACAGGTGCAAGGACGGCTCTCCCGCAGACGTGACAAGTATCATCGTCGGCCAGGGCAAAAATAGTGTGAGAGAACCAGTGTTACTGGCAACTGTGCAAAGGCAGTTGAAGAATCTGACCCCGTCTATTGCGTCCCATCCGATGGAGGCGAATACGGGCCGCTTAGTGGTGGACCGGAGTGATCTGGTTGCCTGGCTGAAGCAGAATGCGTCAGAGGATTTTGCACCGGCGACTGGTTTCTAAGGATAGCTATGGTTTTGACTGGCGGGGCTTATTAATTGATTATTACGTCATCTCACTTTTTGGGCTCTGTCCACGAGTCTCATTAAGTGTGCTCCGTCGTCTACCGAACAAATTTTCTACGACAATCTAATGGCGTCGTTTTGTGGTACTGTCAATTGTAGTCATATGTTTAGTTGCTCATGGCCACACGCGTATCCAAATATGCATATCAGAATATGGTTCTCATATTTTCTTGCATTCAAGATCAGAATAAACACCCTACGCACATCTATGACACCGATTGCCAATGCATGAAATGTATTTAAGTGCGGATATAAATGCTTGCTAGATACAAGGATCTAGGTCATTGATGCTGCTATGATACTCGTACAGTATCATATGTCTAAAAAAACTGGCGATGTATTTATTTGCGTATTATTTTCTACGAACGACTAGATATGATGTACTCCTGGACTAAGACTATATTCCTGGAAGTAGAGGCTGGCTGAGAGGTTATGGCTAGGTGATGTTATGTCATATCGCTTGTACACCACTGTACAGTGACCACGAATTTGGTCTCGCTAAATGGGACAATTCGTTGCAAATGGCAGCCACAAAATAAAGTATTATACTAGATTACAAAATATATTGCATCACAGGTGATACCTTGCCCTCTGCTTATGCTCCTTGGGCGAGGACCTTTGTTTATCACTGCGAATGGCATTGCCATCACAGGTGATACCTTGCCCTCTGCTTATGCTCCTTGGGTGAGGACCTTTGTTTATCACTGCGAATCGCATTGAGACATCGAAGTTTTAAATCTGAAGCTGATCCTGGCTTTGTGTAACGCATTTCGTATATTTGATGCTATGACAGACTATTGCTAAACATGAAACTTTGACTTTGCGTAAGTTTTGAATCATGCTGTTCGATCGCTAATTGCACCGCTTCTGCTGTGCAAGTGTACCCACAACACTGTCAGCCAAATGATCGATGGATGGGTCTTGATAATCGAATAGTAGTAGCGGTTGTGATTTAATTTATGTATTCTTTATTTATACATCTATATATACATATCCTATAAGTATAGGCATTGTTGCACTATCCAGTTGCAAGTGTGACTATATCCCACAGCCATTGGCCTTTTACTTCCCAGAAAGTATGAGTGCATCCACTTCCAATCATAACACGCTAATCTACTTGGTTGATTTCAAGCGTTTACTATAATTTATGCCCTCATCATATAAGTCTTGCAGGCATGGAAATTGTCACCAGCATTGAGCCATTAATAGTTTGCGCTCACACTCGTACTCGAGGACCTGTGCGAGTTCTGAGGTACGATGAGTGCATAGGCTACATCCGGAATTTTCACATACACGTATCAAATAGTTTACAATGCAATCGCAACTGGCGGGTACCAACGTAGTACCTAAACATCTACCAGGTACACAATTACTTCTCCTTTCTGACCAAGACTTACGAGTTCAGTTATTGTTGCTAGCTAGTGCCGTTCTCCCTAAGCCAATTCGTTAAATCACTCTGGTTCAGTCCCATACACCCCGTATTGGCTGGCAGCGTGTGAGAGGCAACCGGAGGAGTTAATGTTTCCAGTTGTGTCTGTACTGCTCTCAGCAAAACAGCTTGTTCTGCGCTATTGTTACCTTTACCTACAATGATATACTTCAGTTTCGCGTTCTGAGCTCGAGTTGTATTGCGACCATGCGTTTGCAATTCTCTTAATAGTCGACGGATAGCAGCTTGTGCCATAAATACTGTGTGGTCATGTAGATCCAGTACACCTGTGCTGCTGAAAACATGCCAATCTTTTGCAAAAGCAGGGACATTCACAATCAAGTCATTGTATATCGAATCAATTCGGGATTGTTCCCTGCCATCTGCACCTAGTGCCTGGATGACGGCGCCATAACTACCTTCAATTTTCTCTATGTTTCTGTCGCCCATCTCATCAAAGAGTGCAAGGGCCATCTGAGACTGGCCTCCCTTCTCACAAGCGGATATAGCCGCACTGTAGGCAATCGTATCCTGTTCAATGCCTTTACTTTCCATTTCATTGAACAGATTCATTGCTTTACTCCACTGTCCCACTTTCTCATATGCAGATATTATAGCACTGTACGTGATAGTGTTCCGCTGTACACCTTTATTTTCCATTTCATTGAACAGATCCATTGCTTTAATACACTGTCCCCCTTTCTCACATGCTGATATTGTAGCACTGTAAGCGATGGTGTTCCGTTCAATACCTTCAATTCCCATCTGGTCAAATAACTCTACTGCCCTGTGCCACTGACGTCCTTTCTCACATGCTGATATCGTTGCACTGTAAGCAATGGTGTTCTGTTCAATGCCTTTAACTTCCATTTCATCGAACAGCTCGACTGCCTTATGCCACTGGCCTCCTTTCTCACATGCTGAAATTGTAGCACTGTAAGCTATTGTGTCCTGTAAAATACCCTCCCTCCCCATTTCATTAAATATCTCGATCGCCTTACTCCACTGCGAACCTTTTTCACAGGCCGTTATCGCAGCGCTGTACGTGACAGTGTTATGCTTGAGACCTTTGCTTTCCATTTCTTCATACAAAAGAATCGCATCTTCCCACTGACCTGTTCTATTGAATACAGACATTAGTGTTGAGTACGTCCACGCATTTGGTTCCACACCCGCGACCGACATGCGACGAAACAAAGCTATAGCTTTGTTGGCTTTCCCTTCTTTCAGCAGCACCTGGATCACACTCGTGTAGGTGACCACATTCGGATTAACACCACGGATTTGCATCTCTTCAAAAAGTAAGTGCGCCTTTGCAAACTCGTTGTTTGCACTCAGAGCAGCAATACACGGAGTGTAATGATAGGCATTGAGTCTTCCTCCGTTATCGTACACATAGGTGAGTACTCGCAAGCACTTGTCTGGTTGTCTGTTCTGTTTGTATATGTTGACGGCCAGCACCCCATCGCTCATCCGTAAAGTTCTATTATCCAGTAGCCTATCCACCACACGCGCCACCTCTCTGTAGTTCTTAGTGCGTTTGGCAGTCTCTTCTAATTGCGTCAGTGATACTTTCGAATATAAGGCTGTGCTATATTTTTTTCCATTCCCTCTTTCTTGTGGTGATATACGCCGGACGTTGACTCGGCCTCTCCCACCGACTGTGGCATCGAAGGGTGGACCATTGCGGACTGTCACCTTTGGCAGAGTTGAATCACTTCCGCTGCAATCTCTGTGTTTGTTTCTTCTCATACGAGAAAGCACCAGTGTGCCAGTTGATTGATCAGTTGAGCTGTCAACGGCATTTGAAGAGATCTTCGTACGTGTGTTATTCACACGCCTTTGTCGACCGATTTCCGAAGTACTTCTACCGTTGCCCGTTGTATACCCTCGAAGGGGGCACGTCCGGAATACTTCAAATCTTGCGTTCGCAGATACGTATCTTGTCCTCTCAATGCACATGCGTGTTGTGTGTGATAAGAGTGCGTCTTGGTTTATCGTTTTATCTGTCTGTTTCCAAATGAAATTCCGAAGCCGCACTAACTGTGCATATTGTGACCCTGGGTACGAAGCCAATCCGCGGACATTTTTAATCTTAGTCACGTGAACGAGGCTAGACAGAACAGTGGCAGTGTATTCAAACCCATAGCAATGCAACATGGTGTGTGACTCAGCAATTGCTAGTTCTTCCAATGTCTAGTATTGTTGCTTTTTAGAAGTATATCTGTTATTACGAGATTTGATACACATTGGTGTGCATAGCCGACACCTCACGCGTTCTCTCTATTTAGCTTGTTTGGGAGTTCAACATTTTCCTTTAACTGTGGCGGACTTGGCCTGATAATCGCAAGAGTTGGTGGTCTGATCTTTTATTTACATATTTACTTCAATTTGATGATTCAAAAATTGGTATACTACACCGGCATGCAGATCGCGAGGAGCTACTCCAGTATGCCCCCGTACATCTATATTAAGCTGCTGAGTTGAACCATACATGTTGCTATGTATATATTTATGACCACGTATGTTGCTACATACGCCATAACTATTGATTTTATTTGTCAACATATCCTGATCTTTATCCTATCCGTAAAAACGGTTGCTCAACAATGTGGACTATCAAATAGCAGTTCTTGGCAAAGGTGCAAACAATGGCCATCACAAGCTTTACACAAGCTCAAATTAGAAACTAAGTATCGGTACGTTTGATGCAAGCTCGTTTCATGTTGCACACTTTTATAGACAAGCGCGTGGAGATATTTAAATATGTTTGTGTATATGCATTCCATGACATACCTGTATGATCACTCTAGTGTATCATTGGATTATTTT